ATGATTTTTTTTTATTAAAATATACAAATTATGTAAGATATTAATTTGTGATCTGCCACTGAACTATAAAAAATTATTAGTTAAATTTAGTGAAATTTATATCAATTATCTAATAAAGTATTTACAATTACAAAAGTTCATTATGTAATAAGTAAAAAACTTATATGTATAACATCAAAAAAACTCTATGTTATAACATGTTCAAACCTAAAATTTTTATAAATTTAATCAAAACTATTTACAATCACGCCTCTATATAATGAAGTTACTAATCTAACTGATTAAGACTTCATTATAAAAATCTTTGTTAATACTATAATAAATTATTCGGTATGTATAATAAATAATTCATTATAGTGTTAATGAATTATTTGTTATAGTAAATGATTACTGATTTTATTATATAAATATAATTTACTATAATATAATTTTTTCAGAAATATTTTCACGTTATTTTGTAAATTCTAGTCATTTTATTTTAACATGCAATCTGTTAATCATTGTATAACAGTTTTATTAATTTACTTAAATTTTTTTTTTAAAAAAAATTTATTTTTTTTAAAATAAAATAAAAATAAAACAAAAAATAAAATAAAATAAAAAAAAATGAAATAAAAAGAAAATTAAACAAAACGAAAAATTAAAATTAAGAAAACTAAATGAGATGAAAAAATGAAATTAAGAAACTGAAATAAAACTATAAAATAAAATTAAGTAAATGAGATGAAATAAAAAATTAAATTAAACAAATGAAAAAAACTATAAAACAAAATTAAGAAAATGAAACGAAATGAAAAAATGAAAAGAAAATATAAAATGAAATTAAGAAAATAAAATGAAAATAGAAAAATAAAAATAGGAAAATGAAATAAAATGAAAAAATGAAAAAGAAAAATGAAATTAAACGTATAATATAAAAAGAAAAAATGAACAATACAAAAAAAAATGAAATTAAACGAACGATAAGAAAAAAAAACTGAAATTTTTATTACCTTGTAGGCCTTACAGATATATCACGATTTTACCATCTATTTCAGTTTTACCTCGCAGGCTTATCATAATTTTGCTTTGTATTTTATATTTGCCTTATAATAGGCAAATTACGATTTTTCTTATGAAAATGTCTTAATTCTAAAAGTAGATATATTTAATATAAATCTAAAAAATCATTTAAACATTTTTAATTATTATCTGGCCTATTCTAAAATCGAGTCCTGAAGATATTATATAATATTTTCATAGTATAGGTCTACTTCTCACCTCTTCTCACTCTAATTCAATAATCGCAAAAATTCTAAAAGATATTAATTATATTGTTAAGTTATATTTATCATTATATTATTATTTATTTATTTACTTACATTGTAATTCTGTACTAAATTCCTCTATTTCAACTTGTATTAGCAAGTTGAATATACTGTATTGAATCTTTAATTGATTTGTCGAGCTACACTCTTCTAGAACCTCATCTTATTGCCTCTGTATCTTATATGATACTTTTCATTTTTTCTCCTTCTTTTCTTAACTAATAAGTCGATTTTATTATCCTTCTAAATGATTCTTGTAGTCATTTTTGTGTTTGTAAAAAAATATGATTTAATGGAGTAAATTAAAATGATTTAAAGGTTAATTTAAATTTTAAAAAGTGAAAAATTATACGATAGTAAAAAATACTTTTCTTTATAAATAAATTTATCTATTGATTTGATATCTTATGAAATTTTTTACTCATAATAAAATAATACAATCTTGATTGAAATTTTGATTTGTATTAAAAACAAAAAGTCAAAATAATAATTTAAGTATTATATTATAATTATGCATCATATTATTTATAAAAATTAGATCAATCCAAATATAACAAGTAAAACTCATGATTGAAATAATACAAAAAAAACTCTTTGTGATTGAAATTCTGATTTGTATAAAACAAAAAGTCAAAATAATAATACATTATATTATTATAAAAATTAGATCAATCCAAAAATAACTTATGCAAATTAATAAATATAATACATTAGACAATCAGAGTAGATCAATAATAATAAATTATTATAAAATTATTCATTACAATTTAGTAAAAAAATCAATAAGCAATTTTAACACAAGTTTAACAAAAATTGGTTAAAAATTAATAAAAAACCAATGTGATTTCTCAATACAATTTCAACTAAATTTCAACAAAATTTAACATGTTATAGGAGCATTATTTAGTTAATACATTAAAATTTCTTGTGATTATGATGTCATTTTATTTCATAAAAAGTAAAAAAAAAACTGTAACCATTATTACATAATCTCCTAAATTACTATTCTATTATAGTAATAAATTTATCAAGATTAGTTTGTTTTAAAGAGACAAACTATTATTTTAAAGCTTCTTTTTTAAGCTTTTTAATAGATTTTAACTCTTCCTTTTTCATGCTAAAAGATTTTTCTTGCTGCTAATATAAAATTACTTTATCATAAACCTCAATAACTTTCCTAAAAGTAATTATTAGTGATAAAGAATCTTCCTCTCTTTCATCTTTTTAATCAGATAAAACTGCTTTTAAAATTTCTTTGTCAGATATAATTTCATCTATAATCTCAAACTTATTATACTTAACAAATTCTTCAGCGGAAAAATGATTATTAAAATCTAGTTTATTGATTAATACTTGAACTTCTTCCATCTCCTTTAACCGTTTAAGTTCAAGTAATATATTATTACTAGTTTTATCCTTATTTTTGTGATTATCTTTAGGTAAAATATCTGTTTTCACCCAACTATTTTCAATTGTTTTATTTGTAACGTTATCCTATGCTTATGCAATGTATTTTATATATTTTTTAATATCAATTTCAGAGGGTTCAATACAATATTCATTAAATTTATTAAAAGCTTTAACTCAATTTTGTAAATAAAGCTTTTAATATTGTGTCTAAAATAAGTTGAATTAGAATTAAGTATAAATAAAGTTAATATCAATTATATTTTAACTAAAGAATTATTAAATCAATTACATTTTTCACCTTAAAACTATTTATGATACCTTGATTACAAGGTTGGAAGTGTGTAGTGGTACTTAAGAGAAGGAATTGAATAGTGATATTAGTCAGACAGGTATTTTTATAATAAGCGTATATTAAAGCATTATTCACAAAAAGGATAATTTTCTGATTTTATCTTCTTATTTTGTATCAAGTTTTTTTATGTAATTATTTCAGATTGAAACTTGCATCCAACTTTTTTGGTTCTAATAATATTCAACTAGAAGTGTTCTTTTATCAATATTCTTAATAATCCTAGGATTTTTATACTTATATATGAACAAAGGCGTTTGCTTTTTACTTCCTGTTGTGTTACATGTGAGTAGAATTATTATATGATCCTTTGATTGTTTTTTTCCTGATGTTGTTCGTTAGATATCATTCGATATAGTTTTATCTTCTAAAATAGTTCTATTTCATTACAATTGAATATATCTTTAGGACTATATTCTTTTAATATTTGTCAAAGATTCTCTCTCATTATTTTAAGATCTTCAAGTGACGCACTTATGATTTTCTTATATATATAATACTATTTAAGGTTGTATCATTTTTAAAGTTGTCCACTCAACCACTAGACCCTTTAAACTTATCCTCCTTTAATAAAAAAGCAAAATTCAAGGCTTTTGTTGAAAAAAGATTATTAGTAATAATAAGACTAGCTTTGAGTATATTATTTACCCTTATTACTAACACTTCTTTAATAAAAAGAAATAAAGTTTTCTTATCACATTTTAAATTAGTTTAGTATGAATTAGTATCTACAGAAAGCTAACAGTCTTTCTTCTTTAAAATGTCACTTATCATGCCTTCACTAACATTATATTCATTAGCTAAGTCTTTTGGTTTTAAAAAAGGTAATGATATTTTTTTCAAACAAAATTCTTTTTTTTGTGTAATTATAAAAGACCTTCATTTTTTTTAAAGATTCATCTTGTTTGCTAGTAGGTTGATTAAGTTATTACTTTGAGTTTGCTTTTGGCATTATTGGCATTATATAAAGAAAAAAATGTATAAAAAATAAAATATGTAAAAAAAAAATATGAAACATAAGATACAATGTGTAATGTAAATATTTATTAATTTTTTAATTTATTTAAAAACTAGGTACAGAGAATTACAAAATTTTATATACATAAATCTAGTAAAATTCATTTTAAGTAAAATTTCATTGTATCAAAAAAAATTTATTACAAAGAACATTCATTATATAAGAGTCATTTTATATATAAATTTTTCTGACTTTAATTTATTAAATGTAGTATAAATTTTTAATTACTAAATTTGGTATAGTAAGGGTTTTTTATATTTAAAAATCTGTCTGACATTAAAAATTCATTGTATTGTAAATTCATTATATTAAAATTTATTGTAGAAAGAGTTGATTGTAAATAAAAACTTTTGGCTTTAATCACCTGAAACGTAAGATTTTTACTATTTTATTGGTAATTTAAAATAATAAGAAATAACAATTTTTACTTTAAATTGTTGAAGAACCAGCTATAGCTTATTCAAATAATTTTTTTTTAGACTTTGCAGTAAATTTTATTATTCAATTATTAATAGAAGATACTTCTAGAATTTTAACATTTTACATTAATTCACTATTTTCCTATTTTTAACTAGTTTTTCTCACATATTATATCCATTCATTCTTCTATTTTTATAAATATTTCTATCTAAAAAAAACGTTCTAGTAGAGCTATGACCTGTAAAGTGATTCTTTTTTTCAATTCTTTTTACCATATTTTTGATTATGCTTCAAAGTCTAACCACATAACAAAGGAAATATACTTACATCTATAGAATTATTGTCAATTAAGAAGAGCATTAGACTTTTTTTTTAAATAGTATTAAATTTTATATAATTTATATTTTACCTATTTTGTAATATATTAGTAATATTACTAAGAGTTTTTCTGATATACTACCTATAATAAAATTCATTATTTGATGTATTCTTCATATCAAATCACATTTGTAAATCTACCAATTTTTTTAGACTGTGTTTCTTTTGCTATTTCATATTCTAAAGTTCTTATCATTCCAGCATGATTTTCTCTTTTATCTACTATTATTTTCTGATTTTCTAATTCTTCTTGCAATTGCTTTCCCTTTAGCCATTTTATATTAATATCTAGTAACAAATAGTTTATCTAATTCATTTTGAATTATTTATATAAAAATAACAGAAATCAAAAATACTTACTTGAACTATGTGACATTAGAATAATTCAAGATAATGTTAGTGTAGTATGTGATAAAATTTATGGCTGTGGCATGTATATATCTAATTAGATATTTGATTTAGCATGAAGGTTTTTCATTTACTAATATGAGCTAAGGTTCTTGCTTATATACATCTATCTAATCCTTCTTTTTCTAGCTATCTCTATTCAAAATAATTTGAAATGCCAGAAATCATTTTTGTTTTATCTCTTTTTATTATTTTTTCATTTATATAATGTATATTAGTATAATATCACATCAAATAATTTATTTCTAATAAAACAAATTTATTATTATCTTTATTAGGTTCTAAATATATTGCACGAGTTTTAGCAATATCTTTAATTGCTTTTTGAATATTTTCATTATCTTTTATTTTAAATCCCAATTTAATTTGCCTTTTGATTGAATGAGAAATCTAAAAATCCAACAATTAATTTGGATGATTCAAGTAAGAAATTAATTTTAAATAAAATTTTATATATATCTGTGTGTAATGAGAATTGATAAATATCTTAGCTTCTTCTACTTTTAGAAAAATCCACTTATTTATCTTTACATTATATTATTCTTTCTAATAACTTAATATTATTATCAATTCAGAATTATGATAGTGTGAGCTGTTATCTGAAATAATACTTATTCACTCAGATTTCTTATCAAAAACTTTAATTACACTATGTAAAGATTAAGCAGTAATTACACATCTTGTTTAGCATCACATGATCAATAATCAAAAGCTTCAATACAAATTTGAATATTCTTATTAGATTTTGTATAAACCTAATACAGAATGCAATGTTCATTCTTTTTTGCTATAAAAATCCTGTTTGATTTTTCTTGTAGTTTACAATAAGATTTTTATTTTATAGTTTATTAATAAGACTGCACCTTTTTCATTTAACTCCATTATTGTTGTATTGAATTAAGAATTCAAATATACTTTTTTTGTTTAATGAAAAAGGTAGTAGATTAGCTTTTTTCATATATTTTCAAATTATTATGAGTAGATAAATTAATAATTTCCTTGAAATTATTAAAAAAAGTGAATAGCTTTTGACATCCATTATATACTTGAGTATGTAATCTTTTATAGGTTCTAAAAACATACAATAAGCATAATTAATACTGGATAACGGTCTTATAAGACCGTTATCCAGTTACGTTATAATGTTATCTAGATATGAGTATAATGTTATCTAGTTACGAGTATAATGTTACCTAGTTACTGTTTTTTAGTATTTTGTGGCCTTTTTATTGCCTTGTAGATATCTGATTGGTATTGACCTCCTATGCCTGAATGGATGTCAAATTCTATTTTGGAGGTTGTTGGCCTTCCGTAAGTGTTTGGATACCTGGTTGTATGTCGAGGGTGCTGGTCTTCTGTGCCTGATTTGGTTCTTGGTTCTATATTGTTGTGCTTACCCTTTGCGCCTATTTGGTTATCCTTTAAAATATCAAAATAGTGTAAAAAAGAGACGACAGGTGGCGTAGTGAATTTGCGATTAAATTTTGCCAGCTCTATGCCATAATTTCGGTCAGCTCTATGACATAATTTTGGGTATGCTGTGGGCGTACTGAGCTTAGTTGCCGGGTTGGTGACCCTCATGAAATATTTAATAAATACATTCGTTTTATAAATGATCACAAATTGAAGCGCTTCAGAAATTTCGAATGATATGTGAGAAATCTTTCTAGATGATCCAGAATAGTGTTAGCCGAAAATAAGCGAATTAATACTGTGTCTTATTGCGTTATAGTCACATGATACTGTTCTGGTGCCAGAACACCCTCACATAGTTGCTTTCCTCTCAATTGCCATTTCTTGATTGTCAGTTGAGGCATGAAGTGCCGAATTTGCTAAAGATGTGTTGCAATCTATTCACCTACTTTTTGATTGTCGGTGAGGAACATGCGAAGTGTTGGTGTTGTGCTATTCTTGCAATCCCGCCTTTTATAGCCTGTTTGATTGCCGAGGATGAGGTACGAAGTGTCGAATTAGTTTAGACTATATTGCTTTCATACCTTTTTTCATATATTTTCCTGAATCTTTCTGCCTTCCCGATCTCTTTCCTGCCTATCGCTGATAGTACACCAAAGCATAATTTCTCGTTTCTTTCCTTAATATAATTCTACTTTGGTGTACTATCAAATCTATACCCTAGTTTATATTCTTGCTTTTCTAGAACTCTTTCTCGTATAGTCGTTACTTTGGCGTACCCCCTATATCGATTACTTCTGGATATTACTATATCGATCTATCATACTTTTTTCGTGTATTCTCCTGAGCCTTTCCGCCTTCCTGTCCTCTTTCTTGCCTATCGCCGGTAGTACCCTAAGTTATAATTTCTTATTTTCTTTCCTATATATTATTCTAACTTGGGGTACTACCAAAAGTATGCTATATTTTTTGAATTCATGAGAAAAGGTGATCACATACATTTTTTATTTTGAACTTTCCAAGTTTTTATGTAATTTTATACTAGTTTCTTACATATATACTATGCTTCTTACGCAAAAAAAGACTGACCCTGAAGTAACAAAAGAGGAGAAAGATGCTTGGTTTATAGCCTTAATTGAAGAATATGCTCAATCGCATGATTTAACCAATAAATCTCTAAAATCTTCTTTTCAAGAAATTGAAAAAGCCAATATTACCACTACTCCTGAAAGAAGCGATTTACAAATATCATCCAAACTATCCAAACCACAGAATGATATATGGACTAGGCAACAACATAGTGAAGCATATCAGCTTTTCTCAGCAGGTTTAACAGACCTTGATTATAAACTGAGACAGGGTTACGATGATCACACGTATTTTCAATATTTATCTGATAGTAAAGAAGACATATCACTTTTAGATACCTATCACCCTAATGAGATTTTTTCTAAATATATAATTCGGGTTGCAGAAAAGGGCTTTACACTAGTTGATCATCCTTCTGAGATTTATGGATTACCCGATTTTCATGAATGCATCAATGGAAACCTGCCTTTGCGCCTAATTCTTGATATTGATGCGAGGCAGAAGCCTGATCCCATAAATCTAGAACTCCCCTCTTTAGATAGCAAAAAAATTTCTCGTAATGATTTATTATCCAGAATCTTAAATGCTTGCGCTGATATCATATATTCTGATTTAAAACATCTTATAACTTTAAATGATTTTGCTTTAGCTAGTTCGTCTAATGATGATAAATGCAGTTGGCATATCATATATCCTTCGGCTTGTTTTATTGATTATAAAGACCTTAGGGGTTTTGTGAAAAAAGTCGCTGATAGGGTTGGAAAACCATACTCTGAATTTATTGATCTCACGCTTTACAAATCACGTTTTAGTCTTCGACTTCTTGGATCAGCAAAGGGAGATAGAATCAAAAAACCTGCAATTTCTTCGGTCAAGAACCGAATGTGCAAACTAGAGGATTATTTAGTTCAACTTAAACCAAATTATTTAGAAATTTGGCCACGAACCTTTTCTTCTGAGAAGTCAGAAAAAGAGGAATTCAAACCTATCGAAGATGAAACCGCTTTAAGCAAGGGAGCTAGCTTAGTTATTGCAAAATATGAATGGCTTGAAATTGGCAATATTAGAAATGGATTTATCAACTTTCAAGCGAAGTCATATGAAGTATGTCCTATTTGCGAAATCAAACATGAAAGGGATCAGTTATATGGCTTTTTTCTAAGTAATGGGTTCTTTATGCTTAGATGCTATTGGCAAAAACAATATAAATCAAACCATAAGGGACTGGCATTCAGGGAAGCAACCAAAATTTTCGCAAAACCTAAGCAAGGAATAGCTGAAAGAATAGCCAATGCTGTATCAAAACCATACCCTCTTGTAGAAATGCTAGGGGAAGTTATTAATGTTAAAAAGCTAAGAGACACCCCTGAATCATATCCTGATTTCTTGAGTACTGAGAAAATGACAACGCTTATTCGTTCTTCTCCAGCAACATGGAAAACCACTACATTAAGAGAGATCATTATGGCATTAAAAAATAAAGTACATAATATTTCATCTCTACCATGTTACATCTGGATCTCTTACCGAAAATCTCTTAGCAATGAATCAAAAGCAAAACTCGATGAGTTAAAAGCATCCGGCTTCCGAATTTGTAATTACCAAAATATGCAAGGAGAATTATCTATAAATAAGTGGGATATTATCATAGTACAAGTTGAGAGTCTTTTTCGTATTGAGTTTACAGACCGTCCATTTGTTGCTATTCTTGATGAAGTCAATGCCATTATGCGTCAAATATCTAGCGGTACAAATGCACGGGAATCTGAGAATGCAATACGTGATGTATTAAGATCAGCAAGGCATGTATTAGCAATGGATGCCTTTTCAAATATATCTACATTAACTTTCCTTAAAGCATATCGTGGTGAAGACATTCGTGTAGTTGATAATAGATATCAGCCTCGTGTAGGTGAGACTGTTGAATTTATTTATGATCCAAATAGTGGAGCAGAAGCTATGCGAATAGGATATGAGCTTTTAAGGCAGGGTAAATGTGTGGCATTCATTTCTACCGGAGCAGTAATAGCTAGGGCATTAGTAGAAAAAGCCTCCAAGTTAACTAAACCTGATAATTCACCTATTAGAGCTCGTGCATATTATGGAGATATGGATGGGAAACAGAGACAAAAAGACTTTTCTAATATTAATGATGCCTGGGAAAAACTTGACTGTGTGGCTTACACAAATACAGTAGAAGCGGGTATATCTTTTGAAATTACAGGCCACTTTGATATTGTTATAGCTATTACAAATATTGCCACTCCTGTTCATGTTGAAGCTCTTGCGCAAATGCTTTATCGAATTCGTGATTGTTCTCGTCGTATTGTTTCTGTATTCTATCAGAAAAATTCTAATGAACTTTTTCGACCACCAGGTCATGAAAATATTCGAGCAGAACTTGAAAGTGCTCGACCTAATAATTTACCTACAGCAATAAAGGGGCATCGTGAATGGGATAGCAATGCTGTTTCTTATAAAATTGATCAATCCCCAGCTGTAATAACATTCATTGAAGTTGAGCATCAGAAACGGCTTTCCGCGAGATATTTTATAGAGAAGCTTTGTAGTCTTATAGCCAGTACTGGCGCTTCTCTTCAACTAATAAAAATGGATGAGAGCCGAGGAATTATAGGGAATCGTAAAAAGGTTTGCAATGAAGTTAAGGTTGAAACATTAGTTATCAAAGAAACAGATTTCAATGCAGTTGCTATTTTCCGGAACCTTATTCTTGAAGAAGCTGAAAATCTTAAGTTTGATCAAGAACGCTCTATCACAGATACTATGGCACTTAAACGATTCTACATGCGAAATATTTATAGCTGTAAAGATATGAGTAATGATGACTGGGATAATCTTTGCAAAAAGAAGTTCGTAGAATGTTTTAGCCCACCTAAACCTCGGAAACATTTTCTGCGCTTATCTCACCTTCGGAGACAAGGATGCGATGAAGATAGTGCAATAGAAGGTTTGGTTGCTAAAGACTTTGCACAGTGGGAGGATACCTGTTTTAAAGCTGAAAATAATTTTGAAAAATCTGTAGCAGAAGACTTGCGAAAAACTTATTCGGCAAATCATTGGAAAGTTATACAAGAGCTTTTTAAGATATTAGGTTTTACTGGCATTGATGATAAACATATTCTTCCTGGCAATATTGTATCAGAAGCATTCACACAATCCTGTGAAAGGTTTATAGAGATTCGAAGTCAATCCTTATTGCTCTTCGGCTTTAAATCTCATGCTAAAGCAATGCCAGATCTTAATTCAGTTATTAAAACAATTAATGCAATCGCTAGCAATTGGTGTGGATATACTGTTAAAAGTGATAGAAAAAGAATAGGGCCTAAAGGACAACAAGTTTGGCAATACTCATACCGAATTAATCGCCAGCCATATGATGGTCTTGGTTTTGGAGATAAAGGCGCACCAGAACTCCCACCATATAGGTTAAATGCAGATAATGAGATACAGGAACTTTTTAATTCTATAGGATAAGGAAAAATAGTTCTCCAGTCCAGATTGTTATTCAGCCAAGTATCTTGACTATATCAGATAATCCCAAAGGGGTCGATTCTGTTTTAGTTTTTTTACTTTCACGCCAGGCATGGTCATAAATTCCACCATGTGTGCTACAGATTCCGGTCTTGGAATAGGTTCGCTCATTACAAATAGGGCATATTGTTTTAGGATGGGCTTTAAAATGTCTGGAGCATCCTAAAGCACTCATGCACCCTTTCCCACAAATTGAATCATCTTTTTTAATATATTGGCAGATAAAACGGCCCATATGAGGTAATTTTAATATTAATATTCTTAAAACTTCATCTTCACTTTTATTATAAATATTCAAAAATGTGTCGCATGATTGAGGAAATTTTTCGAATTGAAAAATAAGTAGATTAGAATAACTAGGTAATAATCGCAATCTACTTATCATTGGCAATGTTTACTAAAGCAACCGCTCTAAAGGCCCGAAAGCCCAAAACTAATAATTTTGTTTCGATTTTAGAACAGTTCCTAGAAAAGTATAATTTGTCAGCTGACTTCACTCTAGAACAATTAAGAGAGCATGCTTCAGAACTTAATATTCAATTGCATGATTGGAAGGCTCGCAAGTGTGTTAAAGATCTCCTTGCCAGACGCACTGATAAAAGACACGCATTTAGCAAAGAGCAGATAGGGGTTATTGTGCCAGACAAAAGAAAGGAAAAGCTCACCATTGGAGAAAGAGCTTTCTATTGTGCCAAAACTGGCGATAAGTGGGATATTTATATCAATGCTCTTGATTTAGGTCCAAAAAGTAATAACGATAAAGAAACCGTTGCCTCCTGTTCACGGCTCTCACTATTTCGTATCGAATTGGTAAAAGCTGGTATTGCTCAAGAACTTATTGATACTTATGCCAAAAATCCGGATGTCACTACAGCTTCTAACAAAATTCAGAAAGAACGGACTGAGCAAAATTTAGCCGATAATCGATCAAGAACTCCACTATATTTCTCCTTAGCAAATGTGCGTAAAAGGATTCAGAATATGGATGTTTCTAAAATTCCTACTCAAGAGAATCTCGCAGATGTGATAGTGATGTTGAGTATGAGACCTACGGAAGTGAGATCTCTTCAGATCAGTCATTATGAAGTTGATCCCTCAAATCCTCCAGCATGGTATGTAAACGGTTTTTACTGGTATTGTACTGGATATGTTAAGAATAAAGAAAAATATAAGGATAATCCAGAGCCTCGTCCATTCGTTTCTATGGAGAAGGATCCAGAACGTGCAAGAACACTACTCATCTGGATTCAAGAAGCTATAAAGGCTGGAAAGTTAAGTGATCCCACCTTTAGTGAAAATGGGAAGCGCAACACCAGAACATTTAGCAACTTCCTAAAGCCTCATAAAATCGAGCCTAAAATATTAAGAAAAATAGGAGGTAAGCATGCTTCCAGAGTTCATGGCGGTTCAAATCCAACTCACCAGCAACTTGATTTTCTCAGTAGAAGAGCATTGAGGCATAAGATTGTGCGTCACGATGCAGGAAAGAATTATGCTATAGGCGATACAGAATCAGAGGATTCCTCTTATGAGAGCGAGAGTCCAAAACCCTAAACACAGGCATCTTCGCCTGCGCCCCAACCTGATCCTCAAAAGTCTCAGACTATGGAAATGGATTCAATGTTAGCTGAAATTGATGCAATGTTAGCTGAAATTCGGAAATAAATT